GTGGAACCAGAAAGACAAATCTAAACCCGAATAAAAGATTCCCTGTTTTATTTGAACAAAACAAAGATTTGTTGAGTCTACTGAATCTTAATTGAAAGGTTATTTTTTTGTTTCTTTCTGACAGAAATAATATGGCTTCAGAATTCGGAACCAGAAAGTTTGATAAGATAAGTAGTGGTCGGCCACCGCCCATGGCCAACTTATCATGTTCAATATCAACGTATTACGAACTGGATGAATCAAATTATTTCAGTAATTAAATTGATATTTATTATTTTTAGTGGTTATAAACTCGAGAACTAACGATTATAGTGAGATGATTGAACGTTCATTGTCAAATGGTTGAAACTATCTAAAATAGATATTACTTTATAATCATCTTAATTTAGAAAAATAATGTATCATGGATCGAAACAATGGTCATTGTTTCAAACTGATAATATATACTATGTAAATATAACTGTTTAAACTTAAAATTTCTAAAAGTAATAATAATATTTTCTGTCTAAATGACCAAATGCACTTTGACCATGGCGATCAAAGGAGGACTGATTTACTGGAAAAACAATGTGCCAAGAAGGACACAACTCACCGGTCTCACCGTTTACTATTTTGTTTTCATTTATTTGACGTCGACACAGCGTTTTAGCCAATGGAATCCAACTAAACCCTACAAATCCGTGAATGTTACAGATTCCAAGACGAACAACACTGAAGATTATACAACAGGGTATTAAAATAAACAAAAAAAACCCCATCATTTTCTTAATAATTTTTTCCGACAAATTCCCTCTAGAAAACGAGTCACTGTGAGTTGGGTAAAAAGCTTGTCTGTTGCACAATTTGCAGGAAAAAAAGAACACATAAAAAACGTCATAGCTTAACTAACTTCAACAATGTAGGGGTTATAGTCTTCACTGAACCCTATAAGTATACGTTCCCATGAGCTCAACTGACTTAAAGAAAAAGAAGGAGATATGTTAAGAATGTTTCTTTCCTTGAAATCCTTGTCGAGATCGGTCCAAGAAGAAGAACATCGTCGAGGACGGCCGGCCTTGGCCGAATCGTCGAAAACCCGACGCGATCCATACACATCACTAACCGTGTGGAGGAAATCACTTGTGATAAGCTGCAATGGGTTCAGTGTCATTGATTCCTATGGAGATGTTGTTTATCGAGTCGATAACTACACCGGTCGACCCAAGGAACTCGTTCTTATGGACGGTTTGGGAAAATCGATCTTGGCAATGCAACGTAGCAGGGTACGCACTTAATTATTATGTTATTCCAACTCTTCATTTTTTTTATCGAAACACATTCGGAGATTAATTCGGCGTTGTGTCATGGACACAGAACCTTAGACTGTTGGATTCATGGCTTGTCTACGGAGGGAAGTAGGTGATCATTGTACATCAACAAAGGAGCCGATTTTCTATGTAAAGAGGTGCATCAACATCTTGCATGGAAACCCTAATGTGCTCGCATACGTATACCGGTGCCGGTCGTCGGAAAAAGGGTACGCGTATATGATCGAAGGGTCGTACTCGCATCGATCGTGTAAAGTGGTTGATCAGACAAAGAGGGTAGTGGCTGAGATCAAGAGGAAAGATGCAATAATAGGAGGCGTTTCATTTGGTGTAGAGGTTTTTATTGACCGACTATTATAACCTACTCGAATTTGACGGGTTGATTTTTATATCATCAATAATCGAATAAATTGGATTAATTTTATTATTGAAATCGAAATAACTAAATAAACTTATTTGATTTTTTTCTTTGTAAAATAAAAATTATCACCATTAAATTGAACATGTTACAATTAGTTAAATAATTGAACTATTCTATATTTGAATATTTAATTTCATAATTAAATTCATTTAATTAAACATGTAAACACGATTTTTTTTATTTAAAAACATGTTCGGTTTAAATTTTCAAAATCGAAAACTAAATTTAATTAACCGTCAAAATCGAATAAATCAAAAAAAATCTGATTAATCAACTATTTGGCCACTTCTACTATTAGTAGACTTCTGTTTTGTTTAATATAAATATATAATATTTTAATAGTAGAGATAGTGGGTTCAATATCCATTAGGAATAACAATGTCTTGAGATAGGAATTGATAAAATATAGTTTAACTACTTCAAATACCATTCATCTTTAAGTTCGAGTTTGAAAATGTCAATGACTTTTCAATTTTACCAATTCTATCACTGACATTTATGTTTCACTGCAATTATAACACCCCACCGTTAATGACTTAACGTCACGATGACATGATATCTTCGCGCCGTGACATTGCTGAAGTGGAACCCTCACTAAAATGACGTTGTTTTGAAACAACTTTTTTGATGTTAAAAAAACTCAAAACAACGTCGTTTTGTTAGAATCATTTGATATAAAATTTACTTTCCATAGGATTCGAACCTATATACCTTCAAATATTAATAGTAAAAATCCAACCACCAAACTAACTTAATAATCTAATATATTCTTAACAAAACTAATATATATCTTAAATTGCAGTTGTATACTTCTTCTCCCCTCTCTTCTTCTTCAACGTCCGTCGATCTTCTTTGCCGCTAATGACATTAAATATATTGTCATCCATTTTGTTATTCTTCTTCTCCAAAATACGAGAAGATTCACTCAAGGTAATGCATTGAATCAAAACAACTAACGCCGGGATTGTCTTCAAACTTGCCATACCGGTGAATTTTCTTTTTATTTTCAGACGTGAATATACAGTACCCATGTACATACATATACCAAAATTTTATTCTAATCCAACAATGAAAAGGAATCCCTTGTTGTAAGAGGAATTATATTTATGCGATAGAATCAGACCTTTTCCTACTATCACTATATTACTTTTTAGGAAAAAATATTATTTAACTAATTAGAAGTGAAACCAAAGTAAGCAGTTTAGTAGCAGTAGGAATGGTGAGTCGGAAGCAAATAACGGATCAAATATAACATAATTTTAGGTACATTTACCTTTGAGATCTAAGTTTTGGTCATTGAATAATGAGCGGTTGCATCTCTGTTTTGAACAGCCTGATGACCAGATGCCTGGTGACGAGACTGTCGGTAGGGATGGCAATGGGCCGGGTATTGGTCCCCATCTCCGTTTAAAAAACACGTACTCGTCCCTGCTTAAAAAACTGTTGGGATTTAAACGGGGATCTCCATCGGGTAATCGGAGAAAACCGTGAGAAAACGAGTATCCCGTTTAGCATAAACAATTATTTAAACGGGTATCAGGCCGGGTATATATATTTAAATTAAATATATATATATATAATAATTATTTTAATATTTATCGGGTCAGACATCGGGCTGGGTAATCGGGGCGGGAATTACCAAATCCATCCCCATCTCCGTTTAGCATAAACGGTTTTTCCCCGTCTTCGTTTAATTCAGTTTTCGATTTTCCCCATCGAGTTCGGATTTTTTTGTCATCCCTAACTGTTTGTGGTGATGCTTTCAACACATTTTTCAATGAAATCGAAGCTGGGAAGCGCGTATCTCGTGCTGTTTTTGTAGATCTTGAACCCACTGTTATTGATGAAGTGAGGACTGGTCCTTATCGTCAGCTTTTCCACCCAGAGCAACTCATCAGTGACAAAGAAGGTCGACGGACGTTGAAGTATACAACTGCAATTTAACAAATATATTAATTTTGTTAAAAACATATCAGATTATTAAATTAGTGTGGTGGTTGGGTGTTTAGTTTGAAGGTTACAAGTTCAAATCCAATAAAAGTAAAATTTTATTAAATGATTCTAACAAAACAACGTAATTTTGGGTATTTTTAGCGTTAAAACGACGTCGTTTTTGTGAAAAAACCACAATAGCAATGTCACGACATGAAGATGTCATATCATTGTGCCGTTAAGACATTAACAACAGGGTGACATAATTGTAGTGAAACATAAGGTCAGTGATAAAATTTACAAGATTGAAACATCAGTGGTATTTTCGAACCTGAGATTAAAGATGAGTGATATTTAAAGTAGTTAACCCTAAAATAAAATAATACAACCTCAATTTAAGAAAGGGTAAACTACAAAAATATCCCAAACTTCTAGAACGCTTATATTTTGGTCACATAACTTCTAAACTTTTACAAAACCAGTTCACAGCAGTGACGGTGGTGATAAAACGAATTAAAAGTTCAATACATGTAATGCACATTTTAAAAGCTCAATGACCAAAATATAAGTATCCTAAAAGTTCAGGGACCATTTTTTTGTAGTTTACCCTTGAAGAAAAACAAAGGTCAAAAGCCAAAGTGCGAGAAACTGAAACTTCTATTGCCTCATCAATTGCTCTATACAATATACAAGGCAAAGAATTCACCTGCGGTATTCTACAACTATCCCTTGATACTACCATTGTAACATTTTCCCCTTTTTCAGCAACAACACAGCCTACAACGTGATATATTTACATACAACCAGGAACACCGATTTAGCCTCACGGAGGGGTTGATAAATAGTAATATTTATGGAATGCAAACTTCTACATCAAAAAAAGAAAAGATTACTTGATTAGTCGAGCCTATCTCTCCCCCGTTTCCAGTCTACGGGCATTAGCTTCCGTAACTTATGTTGACTGTTGCAAGGCTTATCCAAAACCGTTGCCGGAAGATTCGTACATGGCATCTTTACTACATTGGCAGTGGAATGTCTTGTATCACTCACTGTTTTGCCAGGCGATGATCTACTTGATTTAGGTGTAGACCAAGCCATCTGTGCTTTTTTAACACCATTTTTGTGATTGAGATCCTTCTTATTCTCGACTACAGAGAGCTTAGGCCTTTTCGAGAGAATTATATGGTCCGTGTCGCATCTCAACAGTTTGTCAGATCCCAACAATGAAGAAGTCGTCGCATATACTTCATCCGATTTCTCAATTGATTTTGACTTGCGAGCTTTCATGGCCTTTTGTGAAGGCTTCTTTGGCCACCTTATAATGCCATCTGGGTTCTGCCTCAAGGGTTTTGTCGCAATGTCACATAATGTTTGAGCTGCAGCCAATATTTTGGACAGTGTCCAACTATCACCAAAAAGGAAACAACAAATGAGAAATGACAGACAGAGAACCGAAATGGCAATAAATTTGTCTATGTTAAAACAATAGAATGGCAAAAATATATATCAGGCCACATGCCCTACATTTCGACCTAGAGTTTTTTAGTCCCAAAACTTCTACAGAAAAGATCAGCATATCTCTAGGCGGGGACAGAACAGGAAGCTACCCTTCAATAAATTGTTACCTTGTGGAACATTAAAAGCCTTGGCATAAGTTGCAAGAGGTTCTGCACGCTGTTCACATAAATGAAGAGTACCAGATGGCGATGCTATTTCACCTTCTGAATTACCAAATTTTGGAAAGGAAGGAATCAGGCTTGGATCATAGGCAAGTGATTCCAAGTTGGAAAAACAACCAGTTGCAGTCTCAGGTGAACTGGAAGTGTTTGGTACTTTTCCCCATCGCCCTTGGCACATGCACTTGTTTGATAAGAGCTTAACCGCATCAGGATTGGTTCTGCACCCATTAAGAGTATGCGACCAAGGAAATGGTGGCAAGCTAGCTCGGCGGAGCATTTGCTTGCCTGAACGAGTATCAGAATTATTCCTTGTGGATGTTGAAGGCTTGGTTGCATCGAGAAGTAAAGAGTCCAGATCTTTTGGTGGAGGTAACGCCAAGCGCTGTAAAATATCTTTGGGCTGATACAATGAAAAATCCGAAGGACTGGCAAGCATTTCACACTTGCCAGATGAATCCTGTGATTGGAACAAGATTAAGTACAAAGTTAATGACCTGTCAGCATCCATAAATTTTAAAAAAAAAACCTTCCCGTAACAGAATGTAAAAGAATTTCTGAGCATGGTATGGTTAGGCCATCTCTAGCGCATCGCTGGAGTAAAGAAAATCTCCACTTTGGAGTAGAGAAAGTGCTCCAACTATAGTAAAACGCTACAATTGGCGTTGCACTGTAGTTGCGCTACATTTTTTTATTTTTCTGATTTTTGGTTTTTATTTTTTTACTTTCTTTTATTATTTTCTTTTCCTTTTCTGTGTTACATTATTTTCTCTTTATTCTATCTTTTATTTTTTTATTGTAATTTCTACACAATAAAATAAAAATAATATAATAAATTCAAGTAGATTAAATTACAAGATCTTAATTTTCCAATTGTAGAATGGAAGAGATCTTAATTCTCCAATTTTCTCTGTATTTTCGCAATGTTATTTATGAATGTTTGATTTATGTTTTTTATCTTGACATTTATTAGAAATGTATATGTTTTATTTTATATTTGCAAAATCAATATTATAATAGTTAAATATTTTGAATAAAGTAGAGTTGGTGGTAATGTAGAGATAGTGCTGGAGATGAATTATTATTTCATCTTTAGAGTAGAGATAGAGATGCTGTAGAGTAGAGATGAGGGTTGGAGATGGCCTTAATAGTCAAATGACCTTGACACCAGGAAAAGTTGCAAAAAGTAAAGAGATAAATAAAGGTGGAAGATGAAAATTACTAAAGGCTCCTATCAATAGGGCAGGAGTGTTTTATTGTGTATCACAGGTATCGATATCTTTACTTAATTTATGGTTGATTTCAGGATCAAATATAATAGATTTCTGCTCAAAAACTCACCTTGTTGCATGGCGATGGGTCTACAGAACAAGTGTCTTCTTTATCACCATTAACACTACTTGCCGGAACAGAAACAGAGCTCAGTGTACATGAGGGCATTTTCATGTGGGAAGAACTGTCTAAATCCGCAACATTGTGGCATTGTGCTCTTCGTAGCGGAAGAATGGAGAACACCTTTCTAACAGAATGTAGAAAATTTTCAGTTGTGTTAGTTGCTTTCCTATCCTTCTCACCGCCTAAAATGGGATGCTCGAATCTACCATCAAGGAGTTCATTTAATGATAAATCCTCTACAAGCTTGGAGACATCATTTATATCATCAGACTTCAGTCCATACAATCCTGAAATTGGTTCCCAAAGGTGAATGGTGCAAAAAAAAAAAGACAGAAACATGCAATCGGTAGCTAATTTAAACGAAATGCATAGATAATATCATACAACCAATCACCAACAAATTGGTTAGGCTTGTACCAAACCCAGCTTTAAAAAAGTGTACATGTTAATAAAAACCATTTTTTGGTAACAATGACATACCAAGGAAGTTGTTCCCACCAGAGGCCAGAGTAAAGCTTGCAAAACCACCCTTCTTGGAGAAAGAATCAGATTTCGGCTTCATAGGAACTTTGAAAATTTTCCTGTCACCTCTCTTGCCACTAAAGCTGTTCTTTTGTCTCAGCATTTGTGTTTTATCTGGAATGTATTTTACAAAAAAGAGAAAACAAACAATCAGCATAATCTCCAACATTTGACTCCAATAATTTCAACTAAAAAAAAGGAGCCACATATTCGGAAACTAAAATGCAACAGAACAAAAGCATAAAAGAATCAGATGAGCTCTGGCAACTTGACCATTAACCAACATTACGGGGACAAAAACCTTCTTGAAGATCAGACAATTATCTAGACTGAATTAAATCTACATCAAATTAATGTGATATTTCCAAACAAGGGGAAAAAAAGGTACAACCTGATAAGTTACATTTTGTAGAATTACACCCTGGCTTATCCTTTACGTCATCAACTCCAGTTGAAATCATAGTGTCTTCTATTTGACCAACACGTGTTTTCTTAGAAAATCCACTACTACTACTACTAAGCATTTTTCCGGCTTTTCTTGGTGTGCTAACAACATCGGAACCCAAATTTGGTAAGGGAAAACTGCTGCCCCTGTGATCATGCAGTTCAGATGATTCTTCCATACGAAATTGGGGCAGCTCACTAGCATGCCATCAAAGTTCAGCACAAGGAATCTTACTCCATGAAGCCAACTTTAAGGTAATAAAAATGCCAGTTCCATCTGCAAAATCAGATCTTATTAGAATATATGTCAAAGATCAATTTCAGAACAAAACATTACACACCAATGACCAACAAATTGAAAAAAAAGTTGGGATAAGATTCCAACCATAAAAACCGTATGAGCGAAAGATAAAAGGCACCACAACCAATTATTGAAGAGAGAAAATAAGTTACATAAAATATTGCATCAAGAGAACAGCATTCTAGAATTGGTAGACATTTTCACCTATTAAACAGCTACTACTGTATCATCACAAACAATTTTCTTTTAGTAAAATAACATTCTCTGACTAAGGAGAATATGTTGTTTTTCATGGTTAGTTTGGGAAAAGGGTAGGTGGGTGTTATTTAGTATTCTCTTTTGGATGGATGAGAGTGTGATTGAAGATGATAAAGAAGGCTGGTAGGGGTCAAGAATGGGAGGACCAACAGGCAAGTTCAGCTGACAGAAGCTCAGATAAGACAAATTTGAATTGCCTCCAAATATAGCTTCTTAGTCAGCCGATCTAGTGTTTGAAACACCAATCAAGATTTGTGGTAATAATTAGTAGTTTAAAATCTTCTATTTTTAGAGAAAATAAAAGGAAAGGAACCAGGTTGATATAAATTCGTATGACTGATTCTTGATTTTTCTCGTAGTGCCTTTTTAATTATTTTATTAGGGGTTTAAGGGTAGTTTTAGTTTATTGTAATAATTGAAAGTGAACATTTATGGATGCCATCATCATCAAACTCATGCCAAAGTTTCTAACTTCCATGTGTAATAATATTACTGAATTGGATCCTAAATGATTCTGTTGACTTGGAGAAAGTAACAAAGAAACAATAGAGGATTGTGAAGTTTAAAGCGTTACTTAAATGGTTCTTGGCAATACGTTCCTGAGAAATAACAACCAAGACACTTCAGCAATAAAAGGCTAAGAACCAAATCAGAGATCCCGCTTCTCTAACGCATTTCATAAATAATTTCTATGATGGTTACAAGAGATTCCATGTCTTAGACACACCACATAAATATTAGGGTATTGCATTTTCAATTAGAATTTTTTCAAGAATTTAACTTGTCTCAGCTGAAAACCCAAAAACATCTTTAGAAAATAGAAACATAAAGCCAAAAGAAAAATACTTAAGCTAAACAAAACGAAGTAAATCAACATATACACACACCTAACGCAAATCTGAAGTTATTGCCTTGCCGAATTGCCGCTGAACGAGTTCTGAAGCAACCTTCTCTGGACGGAGGCGGTTTCCGGAGTCGGGAGAGAAGTAAGGAGCGGCGGAGGATAAAAAAACAGCTACAGTTGGGAAGAAGAGCAGCAAGGAGGCGCGGGTGGGAGATGGAGCTTGGGGGAAGAGGGAGAAAAATTAGGTTAGGAATTAGGATTTTCAAGTATATATATATTATGGGTAAAATAGTAAATTAATGGGAAAAAATTTAAAATTTGGAAAACGTATTAATTTCGTGTGGAAATTTTAAGTAGATAAGAATGGTGGTCAAATGTTTATATTAGTCCATGGACTATATTTAAGTTATTAACTTAGCCTTTATACTTTAATTTGATCATTTTTAGTCCATCCATTTTTTTAAAGTTTAATTTTTAATTTAATTTTTTTAAAATAACTCTTAATCATTTAATATTAAATGATCACACCCCTAAAATTTATAATATTTGAATCTAAAATCTTAAAGAATAACAATAATTACTTTACCAAACTCGTTTTGTTAGTGCTTAAAGTTTAAATTTTCGATAGTCATGTTTTTATTAAAAATTAATTCATAGATCAAAATAGAAAAACAACACGCTTAATATTGGGAATCTTAAGAGAAAAAAAAAGCCACGTGCTGGTTTTCAGTTATACCTCGTAAGATACAGTTCACTTTTCAGACAAACTGCAAAGACCAAAGCTCATACAGAAACCTCAACAAAGACCATTTCTCTCTACTACTACAACTAACTACTCGTACAAATCAAAAACAAGTATTTGACTACCGGAAATCTAATCTCCGGTGACAATGACGGTAGAAACTTCACCGGACTGGCTTCCCCCTGGCTGGACCCGAGAGTTCAGATTTCAAAAGACCGGTCGCCGAATCACGGTTTGTTAGTTATTACTCGGCTAGTTTTGTGTGTGTTTTTGTTTTTATTTTATTGTTTTCTGAAGAATGTTCAGTGAAGTAAAAGAGAAAATGGACTGATGAAGTATAAGACCAGAGATTACAGTAATCTGTATTAGTCGATGATCGGCTGTTTTTTCAGTTGCATGTGAAAGAAATGAAGTCGAATCTCGAATGATAACTGCGGATTGCTTCATGTTGAATTTGGGGGTTTGGTGAATAAACGAGGGTTCTATTTTGTTCGAATTTATGAGATTTCGAGGCCGAAGGGACCGATTGAGGTTTGATTCTGTTGGTTTTGCATTTTGGGGGATATATATTGCATGTGAATGGGAGTTCTTCGAAATGCTGGTACTAGGTGGTAAAGGCGCGTGACGACAGGTTGATTTCGTTCTGTTCAAAGATCCTTTTTAGACATTGGAATGTTCTTCTTGTCGTTTTTTACACCGGAAGACGTTTCGTGGCACCGAAACATTGATTTCTTGGTACATGCTTTGATGATTGATGATATGGTGACATAAATTCGATGTTTTCGATCGGTGTCGATTAACGTCTATCTGGGGAAATTATGTGTCTTGTTTTCTTTATTAGCAATATCTGAATCCGGCAAGCGGTCAAAGGTTATTTACCAAGGATGATCTTCTCCGATATACCAAAATGGAAAGAGCTGCCAACTTCAAGGAAAAATATAGTCATCTGCAAACGATCAAGCGGTTGTAAGTGTGGTTAGTTAACTTTACTTTTCGTCATTCGTTGCATATAGACGTTAATCCATCAGCTGGATTTGGATTGTATTCCAAGTCAGCGATGTATTCGGGTATCTTAACAGAGTAGAGCTCTGATAATCAATTAAGGCGACATTTCAAATAAGTTCATAGCCTTCACTGCTTCCTTCTATTTATTCGATCTTCATACAGACTGCTGTAAAAGAAAATAAACGTCTGGATTGGCTACCTAAGGATTGGCTCGTGGAGGTGAAAACCCGAAAGAGTGGTTTAACTTCTGGAAGACGAGTCAAGGTATATGGAATTAGTGTTTTCTTTTATGCATAGGAATCACGGTGCATTTCCCTCTTCTTGTATCGCAAGGAATTTGTAATACTGTATTTTCATGGATTTGCTTTTGCCTTACTGCATCAATGTCCTGTCCTATGTCTCATAGGCATCTGAATTGTATCTTTCTTACCGACACATGAACGAACAAGATTGCTAACTAACGATTTTCTTTTATGACTATGCATTTACTAACACGAGGAAATTTAAACTCGTTTCTTCTCTTTGTAATATTTCAAGTTTAGTTTTATTGAACTGCTTTCTTGTTGCAGGTATATGTTGATCCGTCAACTGGACTTAAATTCTATTCCGAGCCACAGGTGTTACGATTTCTTGGCATTGAAGTACCGAGTAAGAGAAACCCTGAGCAAAAGAAAAGAGATTCCCGCTCTAGAAAAATTCTCAAAAAGTTGTACCGTATTTAGGATATATTTTACGAGACATAAAATCGTATTATTCTTATAGCTACTGAATAACTTATGCTGTCTTGATTTTTCTAAATCTCAGGTTGTAATCGACAAATCAACCGATGATGATTTACCATCAAGGTGGATTAAAGAAGTTAAGATTAGAAGGAATGTATATGGAGTCCGAAGATATCCGGTATGATATATCTTTCGAATTCGAATCCGCACGGTCCCCTAGAATATTTTATTTTATTTTAATCATACTCGGACAAGTCCAACTTGGCTCATGCCCTCGATTTTTGTACATACATACCAAAAATAACTTGTGGTGAATATCTTGTGCTCATGTTGCCTAAAGCTTTACCTTGATAGTATAATAAATTAACTGCTGCGGAGTTATAAACATATAGTTCCTTTAAACATGCATAGTATTTTTTGATGTTGATCGGTAATAATTACGACTGCTACAGTATTACACCGATCCAGTCAGCGGCTATGTTTTTTTGCTCAAAAACTACTGTTCTTCGCTATCTAGAAACTGGAGAGATTGCTGAAACTGCTTTTTTTACCAAAGAAGGACAACGATGGCAGATTTTTAACTGATGCAGATGAATCAGTAAGTTTGTACGAAGCTTCTGCATTTCCTTGCCAAGTTTAGTTTCATCCGATTCCGTTATCATTTCACTTGGTCAAATTTTCACATGCTAGATTTAAATTAAATAATTTCAATGATGCAAGCCGCATCAAAAGTGAAATTACGATATCATTTTATTAATGATAAATCCTGTATTTAGACGAGTGATTTTATCCTTGCCGTCTGTTTATAATAGCAACTCCCAGCAGCTAAGAGGAAGAAAGTGAAAGTGAAACATCTTACCGACGGGTGGAGCTCGCTATAGGTGAGGGGTGGAAAACTATAAACCCTTTTAAGTTGTTACCAACCAACTTGAGAATTTGATTCGGGAAGCGGCTTACAAGCGAAACATTTCTGATTTTTCTCCCTGCAGGTGGGGAGACATCTGATAGGAGTATCTTACCCGACCTAGATACCGAGACCTTTGAGAAAGGACAAAGTAATGATGATTACGATGAAAATGAAACGGAAAAGAAGAGCAGCATGGACTCTAAGATTTCGTGCGAATCTAAGAATAAGAAAGAGCTCGATTTGCCTCAAGGGTTATCGAATCAGCTTGACCTGCTTGAACCTAAGCAGGTGGCTAGTGGCCTTGAACATGTGAAGCCATGCCAATGAAGCAAATCAGATCAAATCTGCGGTTAAATGTTCACTCCAATCCAGAGGTGGCAGCAAAGCAAGCCTATGCTTCAACAATGAAATCGCATTGTGGGCTAACGGAGAAGATTATAAAGCCGATTGAAGACGCAGATATTCTCGGAAAGCAGCGACAAAAGTTGGAGAGTGAGAAGACCAGCGACAGTAAATCAAAAGTACAGCCTTTGTTTTCTTCAGAGCAATGCCAGGAACTTACAATGAAGACTCTTAAAGGTGGGGTACCACATAAGGATGCTGCCGATGAAGGTCTTGTTTCAACTCCAGCTTCGAGTGTCCTGCAAGAGAAGAATCTACGTAAAACAAGAATGGAAAGCAAGAGAAGCAATGTAGAAACTAAGAACTCGAGCAAGTTCAAGAAGTTGAAAAAGCTTGACATGACTTGTCGGTTTTCAACACCACTTGCTGTCCTTGAGCAAGAGCAGGTTGCCAATGAAGTACAACATTTTTTCTGCTCCGATCTATGCCTAGACGGGTGCAATACCATTAGAGGAAGCTATCAGTGAAGGGCTCGTTAAAACGTCCATCGCTAATGTCCAGCAACAGAAGAGTCTAATTGAAACAAGAACTGAACATAGCATCTGTAAGAAAACTCTTTTTAGCTCAGTTGCGTATAAAAACAAAGATGCGGGATTGCAACAAGGATCTTCAAAACAACTTGTCGGGCACGCAACTGAGCTGGTGGCAAATTCTTTTCCAACAAACAAATTCTCGACTTTGCAGCTGGAAAGATTTATGATAGCAAAACCATTTGATATGTGGATTTGACAGTGAAATCATCAAGCAAGATCGAAGAGCCTAAAAAAAACCAAACCGTTCCCGCACAAATGAATGACGAGACTCCAGGGCAGCTATCAGCAATTCCATTTGGGAGCTCTTGGTCTGATTGGTCTGATTCTTTCTTCGAGTCGCCTTTCAAGATTCTCGCAAGTTCTAGTCCCGCAAAGGATAGTTTTTCTTTTCAGAGGAACTTTGCACCACTCACGGGGCAACCCGTTCAGCAACAACAATTCCCTCTGAATCCTCCATCCCTTGGCTTACCTAAAAGCAGCACTACTGCTGCTAAAAAATCTTACAGGAAAGGCAAAAAGAAATTGCCAGACAAGGTGGCAAATTCCTAGATATAAAGCGGTCCTAGAGGAAGCATGTCTCAGCCGGACATCTAAAGTCAACTTCAGGTTAGATATTTCTTTTTGAAGCTGACATCTTTTTGGTTTTTAACTTCTTGGTGTTCTGGCTTTTTGTATTTTGGAATGCTTCTTTAGAAAAACGTAGAATAGGGTAAACCGGTAAAGGCTAGTTCTAAATAGTCAGCTGTGTTAATCAAAGGCATTAATCCACCGTCGCCTTGAACCACCTTGTTCTCTGTTAACAATGCTAAAAGGGCTGCTTTATAATCTAAGGTGTCAACAGCATCTTGTTTTTTCCTTTAATATGCTTCGGGTATCCATTAGATTTTAAGCACAATAATCTACCCGATAAGCATCTACCGTATATCCGAGTGATTAGCAATTAAGATTTTAATTACATTAGCATTAAAACCTTAAATGCCTTAGGTTTAATCAGTTTGACAATGATTTGAGAGTACAAATTATTAATAATGTCCCAGTGTCACAAGTAACCGAAATAAAACTCGAAGCCACACGATAACAGTTCGAAATCAAACAGGATAATTAGTTGCTGGAACAGAAACTAGGACTGAAAACTAAAAGTAGCCTAATCAGTGTAAGTTGTCTGCTTCCACCCTCCAAAAGATTCATCAACTTAGTAATCCCTGGATTGATGTTCCTGTTGCATTTTGCAATGGAAGATTTTACATTTTAGTTACCATTTGACTCATACATTCACCTGTATGAGGCGAATGTTCAGTAGATTCAGATTCAAACATCAACAAAACAAAGACAAAAAGTACCTCTGGGGTGAAAGAGAGGCCAATTCTAATCTCCCCACAATAGTTTTCGTCCTTGATGACATTATATGCAGTTGGGGGAATGTGCCCTCCCTCGAATACAGGCTCCAGAGCTATGCTGCAATTATCATTAAAACAGGAGCCTCAATCCAAAAGCATCTTCTTCGAGAACAATTTCGGATATGATATTCCATCGAAGAAACATGTCTCGAGCACATATCCATGTCCGAATATGTTTACTAGATCTGAGTTATAGGAGAGGATATAGTGATAATACTAACGTTACTTCCCCAACGAAATCGTCCTGGGAACCAGTATCACTGTCCAGTATTTTCACCTTGAGCTCTGAAACACCTTCAGAGATGTTAAATTCGAAATTCTCGTTCCATTCAGGTTCTGATCCTTTTCCTGAGAAAATTATTGATTAAGAACAAAGTTTGAATCATGATAATCGATATATTATCCAGGCAGATGAATAAATGTGTTAAGAATTTAGATTGATCACAAGTCCAACCTGATGCAACGCTGCTCTTCTGCTCCTGGGTTCTGCAAGTGAGAATCACATAAGGATCCATGTCACCTGCTCGTTCCCCATATTTTCAGTTCCCAGAAACACAAAACACGAAGATATAAGCAACAAACACAAGGCGTTTGACCAAATTCCTTTGAAAAACCAAACACATACTCATATCAGATCTGACATGTGAAAATCTATATCTACCTATATAATAATCTTATAAACAGGAAGAACTAAACGACTATTGGTCAATGCAGTTCCGATGCGATTTCAAATTCTTGATCCGATCGAAATCGTCATGAGATCGTAACAGAAAACAGCTAAAAGGATTGAAATGTACCCAGATCTAACAGATAACGCTAAAATTGAGTAAACTTGTAAATAAAAACAAAAACCAGTAAAATTTCGGATTAAGGAGCAGGACTTACAGAGAAAATCTGTGTTCTCAAGGCCCTTGGCACTAACGAGAACAACTTGAAGGGTTCCCTGAGGCATGTTTTTAGAGCGTAGAGATCGAGAAAGAAGAATGATTGAAGACAGACCAGATCCCGCAGAGTAATATACATATAATAAAGGAGAATTACTTATTGCTTGGATCTCTTTTCACCTTGGATCTCTTTTCACAAGGAAACAGTGAAAAGAATTCACAATCGCCAGCAGCTAGTCAACTACCATGAATGTGAAGAAATACCATATATGAACAGTTCTAGTTTATGGTATGAACATTAGTTGAATTCTTTGTCTGAGTCTTAATTGGGTCAAGTCTAAATTTAAACTGCATCAATAATCACTGAATTTTTATGACGCTTTCACTCTAGTTATCGAAATCTAAACACTTCCGTTAAGGGAATTTTCAATTTTGTTCACTCTTTGATGATAGCGACCAGAATAAAAACATTTTAGAAGTTCAGTAACTATTAATGTAATTTACCCTCAAATAATTTAAACTTTTATTGTAATTAATTATAAATTTCGTCAAGAAAGGAAGTTAATCAAATTAGGTAACAGTGTAACATTATTAAAATCTGCGTGAATTTTGATCATTTAAAAAGAGAAGTTTAAGAACAAAAGCACAACAAAATTTAAGGATTAAAATAATTACTTTATATTTTTAACAAAGAAATTATGTTTTATAATTATCAGATATTACTTTTTTCCAGATATTTAAATATTTTATTAAAGTAGAGTGAAATTCACAATTATATGATCATTATTCAATCTGACCTAATAACTTTTTAGTTTAATAATTCACCATTAAACTTCTATGATTATTAATGATTCAATTTGACCTAATAACTTAGTTTAATAAATAATTCAGTTACTATTATGAAATTCACAATTATACTATACAAGCGTAATTCAGAAAGAGTGAAATGAAGTCTTAAACCGAGTTAACTCAACTCGAACAATAAAAAGAAGAACATATCCAAACGGATTCTTGGACTCCATGCTTACATATACAACTCCATGAAGGCCGAGCCCATCACCGAGTTCATGGTTTCCGATGGAACAGTTGTGACAACTATCACCACGAGAACGAGGATATGATAGCCTGTGTCGGGTCTATCCGGTATGCCGTGCATTATCATGCTCTCAAGCTAAATCATATGCAGAGATCCCGAATATGCCCGTTTCGCCTACACTGCCTCACAGGTACTACTCTTTAAAATGTTATACTTGCAGAGAGGACAGGTAGCATTGATATGCAGCCACTTATCTACACAGGCACAGTGAAAATGGTGACCACAAGGAAGTTCCCTTAGCTCAACTCCATCCTCGTAAGCAGAAAGGCAGATGCAACATTCCTACGAATTAACCCAATAATGAAAAAACCAGTTTGGTTTCAGCTCAGCAACAATAAAGGAGAAAAGAAATAAACAGCATAAAAAAGGAGATTATCTTACTGCATCATCCTCGGAAAGCACTCGTTCCATAGGGGAATCAATACAACATTCAGTAATTACACCCCCGACAGGACCTTTGACATCACCGGCAAATTTCTCACCCTTGCCAATTTTTCGAAATTTGTATATTGGCAACTGATCAATGTCCTCCTTGGAAGCTCCTTCCTGATGTAAGAGGCCATATGAAACCAGTAAAAAAGGAAAGTACACCAAAAAGGGAAAGATGAAAATAAATCCAAGTAAATCCGTCTTACTGCTAGAGCCATACGACAACAGGGTCCGTAAATATTTAACTTAAATGTGCTCAACTAAATCCCGTTGTTCAAATGCAGCATATTCTTTACTTTGAAAGTGCTTAAAGGATCAAGTAAAATACAACATCCAAAATGTGTATCAGACACCATTAAATTGTCCACACTCCACTGTGATGATACAGTTATCCAGGTTGAATTAGATTCGGGTTTAAAGCTCAAAATTCATGCAATAACACAAAGTGGCCTTCCCCACACTAACTAGGCGGTTATAAGTAAATCTGGCATATTTACCTCCATTAGCCATCTCATTACAAAAATAGATATTCAAGAACAAAATTCAAGATCAACTGCAGGCAAACATATTAATGAAGCATATACGAAAATGTCGATCTTACACGCAAGAGGGTGTGAAAGTTACCTGATCTGCCACAGCATATAGGATTGCAATAATACATGGAAGACAGCAGCAAACAGCAATGCCTATGATGCATGCCAGTGCAACACAGAATACAATAAAGAACACATCAAAACCAAGAAACACTATACAAAGCCTACAAAGAGAAATGCATTGTAAGAGTTAGGATCCAATTACCAGCAAACATACTTCGAACTCTCAAACAATTAAAACCCAGGAAAGAGGACACAAGAACTTACCAACAAAGCTGGGGGGAGCTACGAGCCATTGCCTCACCACCTACAGATACCCAGTAGAATCCGATGATCCACCAGATGAACGAAAACATATTATTTGCAGATTCCAGGTGCTTTGCAACACCACTGAAAACATTTTCAAACGATTAGCTACTAAATGGGGTCTAAAGTATCATATACAACACAATCTATAATAGGTGAGATTAATATATCCAAAATACACCATAAAATAGAAACAATATACCCCCAAAAATCCAAACACTTAATTCAACTAATCTGAAATGTAAAGGGTGGATTCTCATAACACATTACAACTTCAATATACGTGACAGATTTGCACAACTTAACATGTAACACCGAAAAAGTAAATGGAAATTAGAAATCTCCATCAAATTCTTAATTGCATCCCTGAGATCATAACGAAACACGTTCTAAGTTGCATTTTACCTAATGGGGCCTAAAACCTATTTATTCCAACTACCAAAATGACTAATGAAATACAACTTTTTGAACTCCTCTACATATCCCCACAGCTTAAAAAACCGACATCGCGCTTGCCACCAAAGAAACAATGTATTCCATCTCAACTCACCAATTAACCAATAAGAAGCAGTAAATAAAATAGAGGTTCTGAATCTTAAACATTTGATTAAGCAATTTTCTATCCTTCCTATTTAGTACCAAGCAAAGCCTAAGTTCTTAGGGTGCGTTTGGTTCACGGAATGTAAGATTATCAGTGGGAATAAAAGATTACCAGGGAATATGATTACTGGGAATGTTGTATTTTGTGTTTGGTTGGTTTAGCAGGAATGTAAGATTACTGTGTTTGGTTAAAGGAATAAAAGATTATTGGAATGTATATTTGACCAAATTGTCCTTATTATATATTTGTATAATATTACAAGTTGTAAAATATTTATATATTTTCTTCAAAAAATTAAATTCATAATATTTATATAATTTTTTTATAAAATTAAAAATATAAAAAAAAAGGTTTAATGAAAGGGTAAAATTTTATTTTAACCTCTGAACTTCATAAAAAATTTTAATTATAGACTTTTTTTTGTAAATATAAAATAATTTAAGGATAAATTTGTAATTTAACCTTCGTAAAATTTTTATTATTCAATGACAGAATAATGATATTTTGAAAAAAAATAAAAATTTAAGGGCATTTTAGTCCAAAACGCCGGTAATATTACAATAACTAAGGGAAGGGAGGTAATGACATTCCCGATAATATACCCAAAAAATCCACTATTGATAATAAAACATTACCGGGAATACCAAACGGGGAATGTGGATTCCATTCCCGGGGAATCCCACATTCCCCATCCAAACGCCCCCTTAAAGTCATAGAATACCAATGAAACCCTTAATCAAATATAAATATATACCTTCCACTATCCTCTTCCACATGAGCCAAAGTTACGTAGTGCCCCGAATCCACGCTCAACCGTGGGCTCAAAGCCCCTTCATCTCCTGGATTAAATGGCCTGTACTCCGCGCTCCGTTGCCGCCTCCGCCGCCTATACTCAACAAAAACGCAGACCACATGCAACAGGCACTGCAATGCGTACCCAATTATCCACAGTCTCAGCGGCATGATCGGTCTCTCCTTCCAGCTCAAAAGCAAAACCCCAACCGCCACAGCTGCGAACGTGAAGTTCCAGATAACATCGAGGACCACCGCAGGCTTCGAATACGCCCAATCGCTGTGCCGCTCCTCGAGCTGCTCGGCGGCGGTTTCTCTAACCAACACGGACGGCTCACGCATCAGTCTTCGGCTGCTCGCTCGGCGTAGGAAACCAGCCGCTTCCCGAAGCCTCCGGCGACGCACGGATCCACGAGAGGAATCGTCCCGTTGTGCCGAGAGAAACGGCGTCGTCGCGCCGTTGATGTCACCGGTTGGGGATCGATTCATTGCAGTAGTCGAAACCATACGTGGGATTTCTCTGGGGGGGGATTCCAAATGGGTTTCAATTCGAAGCCATGGGGGGGAACATTTACCGCAAACTTTCAAAGGATTTGGAGAATTAGGTCTCTACTGAATGTTGGAGATGATAAATTTGAGGATGTTGAAGGTTTGTCACTTTATATTTCTTGGGGAAGGTTTACTTTGTCCATTAATATTTGGTGGAGTTATGCGGTTCGTATCATTCATCGTTAGGTATATTTGAAAATCCAGTTGTCTGTATACTATTGTTGATGTATATATGTATACTCTTATTTATTTAAAAATATAAAAAATAAGAGTAAACCACATGAATGGCCATTGAACTATGTGAAACATTCTGATTTGGCAACTGATGTATTAATTTTATCCAATAGTGGATCCAATTTTTTTTTACGCTGCGTATACATGTATGAATTACATTAGATTTATGTATGAGGTGGACCCAATCGATAAAATAGACAACTAAAAAAAATTAAATTTCAGGTGGACACGTGTCCATCCTAGGCTAAGGTGGATCTGTCGCTAGTTTTATCAATTAGATCATTTAATTACGTAAATGATACTCCCTTTGTGACTCTGTCCCATAATTTGTGTCTTATATTGACTGTACACATAGTTTTAGAAGATATATTTGACCAACTGAAATGATAAAGTTATCCCCGTGTATTAATAGATTTGAGTGATTTGTTTTGACAGGTGTAAAAGAGTGGGACATATAAGGGTAAAAAGAAAAATATAAGTATTGTTGTTTGTTGACTTTTCTAATAGAACAATTTAATTGAGATAATTTTAAAAACCAAAAGAGAGACATTTAATTGGCCGAAAGGAGTATCTATCAAAATAGTTCACCGTTGAAGTGATAGTTGAAAAATATATGACTACATATTTGATCCTCATTACTTATATATTTTATCAATTTAATTTTAATTTAATAAATTTTAAATTAATATAATTACACATTTTATCTTCATACTCGTATAATTACATATTTTTATATGTACGGTATATGTTTATTTTTTGAAGAAAAAAATATGTGTGTACATGATCTCTCTTTTTTCTCTTTGTTTTATGTTAATATAATATGTGTTCATATTGTCGTTACCAGGGACGGAGTTATTAAGGAGATAAGAGAGGTTGTAGATCCTTCCAAATTTTTTGGTGTAACAACGTTTTAAGTCTTTTTTTAATTTAAATATTATTTAAATAAAACTTTTATCCCCTCCCAATTTTTATATTTAAATACTTTATTAAACATCGTTCTTTCATTATAAAGAAAATTAACCCCCTCTTATATTTGATCTTAACTTTATCCTTGAGCGTTACGCAAGTAAAAGACACATTCTATAAGATATACTTTAAAAGACATTTTTTTATTTGAATAATATTTGGTTTTAAAAAAACCATACAAATAAAGCGAAAGGTCAAAGATGTTGGTTGAATTTCGTTTTCTTTCTTTTCAATGTATGACCTTTTAATATATGTATATATATTATATTAACAGATACGAAAATGACATTCTTTTAAAATGAAAATATATCATTAAAAAATATATAAATATTCATCGTTTTGGGAAGGTTCTACTGGCCAAGGCCCAAGAGAGCCTCCCAAGGAAGGCATACTTGGCCCTGTTCTTTTTCTTTCTTTTTTATAACTTTTTTTTTTATATAAAATATGTCTAAAATTTGATTTAAATTTAATATGTCTAAAAGATATAACCCCTAAAATCCTATTGACATGTGTATTTTTTAACACTTATAATCTTTCTTTTTTTAATGTTTATTTAAAATTTGATTTATGAGTTTTTATTATATCCCATGTCAAATCTAAGTTAATATTAAAGTCTAAATTGATTGATGTTATAATGAAGGACTTGATTAATATGATATTAGTATTTTAAAATATTAAATAAAATATTTTATAAGTTAGAGATTAAGTTAAAATTTAAGTGTTAGTTTGAGAGCATTTGGTTGAATTAATCCAAGGGTAAATTACAAGTTTAGTATTTAAATTATCAATTTTGAACCGTTTAGTACATAAACTTTTAATTTTTTAAAACTATATCTTAAACTTTAGTTTTTGTTACATTTTAGTACCGTCGTTAAAAATTTGATTTTGTTTTATTTTAGTATCCCGTTCAAAATTTATTGTTAAGTTTTGAAAAAAAATTGAATGTTTAAGTACAAAAAGGGACCAAAACTAATAGTTTAGATATTAAACGCGTTAAGACTTTAACGGTAGAGTATTAAAATGAAAAAAAAACTAAATATTAAATACAATTTTTTTTAAAAAAATTAAAATTAAATATTAAAATAGATTAAAACTAAAAATTTAGATACTAAAATTTTATCCTTGTTAAAAGAGGAAAGGAATAAGGCCACAACGAGATGGTTTGGGCCGACTGGTAATCAACGACGCCGTTTAATACGGTTAACGGGTGTGTTTTTTAATTTTAACTCCCTCCAAATCCATCCATAATCATAACCGCATTTCAAAATTCTCCAAACGCAACGAAGAACAAAGGATAGAAAATACTGCTGAAAATGGGACGATTGGCGCGATTTCTCATCTACGTTATCAATCTTCTCTTCCTCCAAAACAAGGTTATTTCAGTAGAGATCCTTTCGAAATCGAAGCTTGAAAAGTGCGAGAAGAGTACGGGATCCGACGACAAACTGAGTTGCACCACCAAGATCGTCATCAACATGGCCGTTCCCAGCGGATCCGTAAGTGAACTTTGTTTTCTGTTTTCTCTCCTTAACTTCGTTATTTAGTGTTTTGTTTATTCTTAATGATGATGTTTATGCTATCTCTCCAGAGTGGCGGCGAGGCGTCGGTCGTGGCGGAAATCGTAGAGGTGGAGCAGAATTTGACGAATAACATGCAGACGTTACGGGTTCCGCCGGCGATAACGGTCAAAAAATCCACTTCCTACGCGCTCTACGAGTTAACATATATTCGAGTGTGTTATTGAACAATCCCATTTCAATTTTTTAAATTTTGAGGGAAATTGAGAGAAGAGACCAGGGAGATGGTAGAGAAAGAATCTCTCATTTTCAATTTTTCTTTTTCATTGAACGATTTGGTTTTTCAGGATGTTTCCTATAAGCCTCAAGAGTTTTTTGCTAAGACACGCAAATGTCAGCCGGATGCTGGGGCTAATGTTGTCAAGATATGTGAGAGGCAAGAAACTGTTTTTGATTTAATATTTCTGATGTTTAGTGAGTGTATTAAAATTGATGCATGAACAGGATGAATGAAGCGATATTGACTGTTTTCCAGAATCCATTTTGTAGGTTGCGCGACGAGCAGGGTCACGTCATTGAAAATACTCAAGTTGGATATTCAATTTTTTAGTACCATTTTGAGTGGAATTTAATATTATGTTGAACTTAACAGTTGATTAGCATTGTTGCATAGTTGTTCATATTGTTATTAGTTATTAGTTACTACGGATTACCTAGTTACTTCGTTACTTTTGTCTTTGCATTGGTAGTTAAAATAGATTACTCTTGCTAGCTTAAATGTCATACTTCTTGAAAAATAGTGTAAAATTTTACTTTACAGTCCCCTTTTGACTATTTATTTGTCTTTTGGATCGTCTGCCTTTCTTGTTTAGCCTATTTGCTGTCCTTGCGGTCCCCGAAGGCGGGCACCTTCATCTTGTGGAAATATCTGTAAGTGCTCTCTGTGTATTTAAGCGCCGTCAAATTTTCTTTTGGATTTCTGGAATCTGATTGTTCTTGCCCTATCTTTACATTTGGACAGTTGACAAATTGATAAAAGGAAAGGCCAATACTGCTCACTGTCTTCGATTCCCAGGTGATTGGTATGGTTTCACTTACTTTCTATTGGTTACATATCTCGTCTTTTTGAGTTGTTATTTTTCTCGCTGGACCACCACTCTTCAGTAGTCAATGACAAAACTTGATAATAAATCATTTTCAAACTTGTTTTTTCCCTATAATTTCAAAGGAATTTTGAATAAAAGGAAATTAGAGAAAGATGATCGAAACTGATTTCTATTTAGGTAGGTGATCCATGATTAATGATGGCATTGGTAACTCTTTTGCTACAATGTCTCGAAAGTTAATAAAAAGGAGCAACTGCTAACTTTCTATCTTTTGCTGCTTTAGTATGTATGCATATTCTATAACTGGTAATGGTTGTTTTATCTACTTAGGTTCCATGTTTTTGGAATTGGGCAGCAGTCAACTGGGTTTAGCGTTAGAATTGAGATGAAGACAGGAAATAAAGTTTCGGTATGTAGTGCCTCATATAATTTTTCAGATGCTAATTGAAGGACTTCCTTTTCTGTTGTAAAATACATATCTTATTGATCAGGTATAACCTTATTACTAGGAGTCTAGGATAGTGATAAGTAGTGAACAAATGCATATTTACGTTGGTTGTATTTTTGTTTATAGTTTCATGTAATGATGTTAGAATTGGATACAATTGATAGATGAATTGAACTGAAAAGGAATAGTAACTTACCTTCCAAATAAATTAATGTTTGCAGGAAGTTATTGTAGGGCCTGAAAACAGAACAGCAACATCCGCTGACAAATTTATAAGGGTCAATCTTATTGGAGATTTTGTTGGATATTCAAGTATTCCTACATTTGAGGACTTCTACCTGGTCATTCCAAGGTAGGTCAGCTTGTTTAGAGGATACTGTTATGACTGTTGTACGCAAGGATGATATAATCCTGCTAGTAGTAGTAGGCACATTTTGGACAATTTAGTCATCTTATTAATTACTTTGAGAAGACTTTTTCCTTAGCATTTGACAAGAAGATGAATTAATATTATCAGGTTGTTTGCCCTATTTCTGTACTTACAGCGTAGAGATCATATGTTATTTACAGCTTAATTTGAGGCCAAATAATGATTCTCTTAGAATTCTGCAAATATATGACCGTTGAACAATTATTATGATTCAAAACACACAAATAACCGCAATTCTTAAAATTGGTGATGGAACTTGAATTGTACATGCTTATAGTAACTGTTATTGTAAATTGTAATGAGTTCCTGTTGTGCATGCGAAGGGTTTCAACTAGCTGCAGCCAGTTGTACTCTTTATTCTTACTTTTTAGTATGGGAGATTGGCTACAATATGCATG